ATGTTTTGTGTTATTTTATTACAACTTGTCATCTCATCTTATTAGAACCTACTTCAGATTTATACTAAATACTAGTGAGAAAAACAGTACTCCAAGATAGCTTTACTTTCTCTCTCCCCTATTTTGTTAATGTTTTACACATATCACATTTATGTATATTGTAAGTCCAACAAATACATTGCTATAATTTTTATTTCATTTAATTCATATCTTTTAGAGAAGCTGGGAGAAGAAACAAGAATGAATATACTTTATGATTTGTCATATTCACACAATATATATATGATTATATACATATTGTTTTATGCCATTGATATTTAAAATAAATTAAAAGGAGAAGAAATAAGAATATAATGTCTTTTATATTTGCATTTAGCTACATTCTTTGTTTTTTCATGTGAATTTGAATACTTTTGGGGTCATATGCTTTCTGACTGGAAACTTCGCTTTAGTGTTTTCTGTAAGATAGTTCTGGTAACAAAACATCTTTGTTTTTGTTTTTGGGTATGTAGTTATAATCTTTGTTTTAAAAGGATAGTCTTACTGAATGTAAGATTCTTTTTTGACTTTTTTTCGTTAAATGTTTCATTATGTCATCCCATTAGAGGAATATGCTTCCATTAGTTTTGATGAGAAGTCAATTGTTAATCTAACATATCACAAACTATTTTCCTTTGTGGCTTTCAAGATTTGATCTTTGTCTTTAAATGTTTTTACTTTGCTATGGAACTCTGTATTTATCTTATTTGGAATTTGTTAAGCTTATTCAATATTTAGATTAATATATTAAATCAAATTTGAGAGCTTTTAGCAATTATTTTTCTGAACATTTTATGCTTCTACCCTGCCCTCCACTGCTAGTTCTCCCATTATGCATATTTTGGTATGTAAAAAGATGTTCTAAACCTCTTTAATCTCTGTTTATCTTTATTCCTCCCAACACTCTGTTCAGATTGCATAATCCATTAATTTATCTTTAATTTCAGTGACACTGCTGCAATTTCAAATCTGCTTTTAGCCTTGACATGAATGCTTCATTATCCTTTTCAACTCTAAATTTTCCATTTTTTCCCAAAGATTTCTTTTTTCTTTATTGATAGGCTCTATTGGTATGAATCATTATTATCATAGTTTCCTTCTTTTTCTTTACTTCTTTGAACATATTTACAAAATTTTTAAGTCTCTAAGACTTACAACTGTGTCCTTTTAAAGATAGTTTTTGTCATCTGCTTTTCCCCTGTATTTAGGTGAAACTTTCCTATTTCTTTGCATGTGTCATAATTTTTTTTTGAAAGACAAACGTTTTAGATAATACATTATAGAACACTGCTGACTCTTCTCCCCTCAACTTACAGTCATCGTTTCTTATTTATTTGTTCAGTGGCTAGACTGGACTATTTCAATGATGTTCATTCCCCCCCATATTGTGCAGCCTCTGATGTGCCGCAGGGGGCACAGACTTGGGCATGTGTGTAGTTAAACTAGGACAAAGTGGTTTTAGCAGTGTTCTCTTTGACTTTCTTTTCCCTATTAAGCTATTGGCATCTGTGGGCATAATATTCAGCTGTTAGTCTCCACTAATTGCTGGATGATTACTCTATTGCTTTTAATAATGACTTGGAAGCATAAATTGCTTCACAATATAATCCAATTAAAGTAAGACCCCTTTGCAAGAACAGTTTTTAAGGACACTCTTTGACATTTGTTCCAGCCCTGGGAAGACTGTTCTTACTCCAGTTCTTTTCTGGTAAACTTACAGCTGAGTTATAATTTACTTTGTTGTTCTTGTGCAGCTACCAGCTTCCTCTTAACTTATTGGCATCATAATCTCCATTGTTTTTAAGAGAGCCTGTCAGATTGAACTTCCCCATACTCTGTTTTCCATAAATAATGTCAGTTCCCGTAGGAAGAATCTTGGAGCTCTCAACATTTACAATCTGTCTTCCCTGAGCAAAGCCTCTCCCACTACTCCATCTTTGAAGGCAAGAACAATGACTTGTTTTCTCTGAATGACCCCCAGGTTTTGATGTGTAGCACTTATGACATGCTGAATAAGAAGCAGACAACTTTCTACAACTACAACAGCATTTTTCGTATCAGTTCATCGCCAAAATTTACAGTTACACTGTGATGTTCAACTCAACTATTAAATAAGGTCCTTAAGGGTTGAGATGGGAGAAGACATTTTCAGAAATGTCCCAAGAAGGGACCCTTCTTGGGTACATGTAAACTCTAAAATGAGAACAAAGTTTGCCACATTTGTGTCCTTCTGTTTAACACGAGTTTCTGTGGTTTCATTAAATAAATATGAAATAAGTTGCTCTAGGTATAATATTGCACAGGTCTGCTGCTTCCCACACCATAGCATTTTGTTACATTAATGGCAGATGCTTTAGTCAACAAAATGATTTGTTTTTATGGGATTAAGAATCAAAGATAACTGGATTGTTTATTTTGTTTTTGTTGCATCTCATCAGCTCTTTGTAGATTTTTGTGATCAGTCCTTTATCATTAGTGTTGTGTGCAAAAATTTTCTCCCAGTTGGTGGGGTTTCTCTTTGTTTTGGCTATTGTCTCTTCTGCTGTACAGAAGCTCTTTAATGTGATGTGCTCCCAGCTATTTATCTTTGCCTTCACTATCACTGCTTTGGGTGATGCGTCTGTAAAGATGTTTTTGAGGTGAAAAATGGGCAGAAGAGCTAAAAAGAAACTTCTCCAAAGTGGAAATGCAAATCAAACTACAATGATGTAGTGGCAGGATGGGCAGTGAGCTATGATCCGAGCAGATCAGGTAAAGGAGGAGTCCTGGAGCCCTGGGTGGCTTTCTCAGGCTTTTATTGAGCTTTACATGTAGTGTGGCAAATGGGTACACAACAAGCAACTGTAGACCAGAGACACACTACTGGGGGGAGGGAGGGGAGAGGAGGGATAAAGGGTCAAAATAAGGGGGGTGGGAATTGTATGGGGAATATAACCAAAATGAAAATGCACACATTGTGCAAAGATGAAAAATTATGTAAGAATTATATAAAATAAAATAATAATAAAAATAATAAATATAAACATTTAAATATTCAAAAAAAGAATCAAAGGTAAGATCCAGAATTCTTATTTTCTCAAAGTATATTGCAAGGCTCAAAGTTATCTACTTTCCTCTTCTGAGTAATTCATTTGCTTGCTTCTGTTTCATTTCACCTTCTTTTATTTATTTTGTATTATTTATTTACCTAACATTCTATCCCTCTGTAGGTCCAGTAGGTCCAGGGTTAGTTTGGCAATGGAATTACCAGTCTCTAGTAGCCCAATCCCCACCCATTTTCAATCACATAGGTTAACAAGTCTGTGCATATTTTCATTACTTTTCTTGCTAGAACCTCTAGTGCAATACTGAGTACAGGTGGTACTTGTTCTTAATTTCAGGAGAAAAGCATTATTTCAGGAGGGCTCACTGAAAGTTCTTTGTAAATGCTTTTTAAAAATCATGTTGACAATGTTCTTTTTCATTTCTTGTTAAATGAGAACTTTGTGAATAGATGTTGGATTATGTCCAATGCTTTTTCCCCCCTATCTGCTGAGATGTTAACATGGCTTTTCTTTTTCAGTCTGTTAACATAGTGAAGTACACTGACATTTGAATGACAATTCAATATTGCATTTCTGGGATAAACCTTGCTTAGTCAGGCTATATTATTCTTTTTTTTTTTTTTAAAGATTTATTTGTTTATGCATATAAGAACTGGGGTGTAGGCCAGCGTTGTGGGGGCTGAGAGGATTCACCAGAGACAGAGTAGGGAGCAGAACAGTACATACACTGAAATACATGCTGCGGGGAGCAGCAAGCAAGACAGGAGCGGTCTGCTGCATCATGTGGGTCAGCTCCCTGGCTGGGGATCGAACTTGTGCTAAAGTGGCTGGTAATAGCTTGATAGCCTTGTGTCTTTAACCCTGTGCCACTGAGTCCCTCCCTCTCTCCCTCCCTCCCTCCCTCCCTTCCTTCCTTTCCTTTTTTTTTTTGTATCCAGACAAATGACACTTAATGTTTATTACCTTAAAACTGTGTCACATAATCAGTCCTAGAATTTGGGGTGGTGTCAGGTCCACCCAAACTATGAGTACTGAAAGTAGGGTGAGGCAGATTCCTAAGGAAACACAGAATTCTGTAACAACATTCTGTTAAGAATGTTCATATGTATGTTCATGAGAGATATTAGTCTATCATTTCCTTTCTTTTTTCCTTTTAATATGTGCTTTTATTATAATACAGGCCTTATATAATAAGTTGGGAAATATTCCCTCCATTTCCATACTATGAAAGAAGTTTTCTTTTCTTTTTTTTTAAAGATTTATTTATTTATGCATCTAAGAGCTGGGGTGTAGGCCAGAGGTGTGGGGTTGCACTGAGAGGATTCACCAGAGACAGAGTGGGGAACAGAACAAGTGGATTGACTGAAATACACTTCTGAGGGGGGCAGCAGGTGAGACAGGAGAGGTCTGCTGTGCCATGTGGGTAGCTCCCTGGCCGCTGGGGATTGAACTGGTGCTGCAGTGACTGTGGATAGCTTCATAGTGCTGTGACTTAACCCCTTGCACCACTAGGGAGGCCCTGGCCTATTTCTTTTAAAAGGAATTTGTCCATCTTATCTCAGCTGTTGAATTTGTTGTCATAAAATTCTTAGTTGTATAGTTTTATTTTTATTTTCTTTATTTTTTGAGAATGGAAAGAATTTTATTAAAGAATTATAACTTAATTATTTGAATTGCATCCAACTATCATATAATGATGTATGTGCTGAAAGTCACACGATCTCTCACCAAAACTTACTTTTAATGATTTATCAGCGGACAGCTAGAATAGATTTTCCTTCATTTTTGTTTTTGTCAGAGAATTTTTTTAGCAAGATAGCTTTTATTTATTTTTAAACATATTCATTTATTTTCTTATATTGTGGTTAATTTTTTGGACAAGTATTTAATTTCTCTCCTCAGGTATAGTCCTACTAGAAAAATATAAAATGATTTATGAATTTGCATGTCATCCTTATGCAGGGGCCATGCTAATCTTCTCTGTATAGGTCCAATTTTTGTATAATTGCTGCCTAAAAGAACATTTATTTTTCTTTTAATATCTACACAATATACTGACTTCACAATTTCATTATTAATATTTTCTCTGGTGTCTTCTATCTTCTTTCTGATCAGTTTTGTTAGAGGTATATCAACTTTATTTTTTATTTTTTTTTTTAAAGGGGATTTTTTTTTTTTTTTTTTAAGATTTATTTATTTACCTATACAAGCACTGGGCACAGTCAGAAGCGCGGGAGGGTGAGAGAATTCACCAGAGCCAGAGCGGGGAGCAGAACAGGCAGAAGGACCGAAGTACACTGCTGAGGGGAGCAGCGGGCGGCAGGAGAGGTCTGTGCGCCATGCGGGACCCTCCTCCGGTGGGCGGGAGCAGCCGGGGATCGAACCGGCGCTGCAGAGGCTGCGGGCAGCTTCGCAACCCAGCGCTCAACCTCTGCGCCACCGGGGAGGCCCTATATCAACTTTATTAACCTCAATTAATCAGCTTTTGATTTTTTTTCCCATCGAAGTTTGCTTTTTAAATGGTTTACTTTTCTGATTATTTTAATTTTCTATTCTTATTCTTGATTTTTAAGATGTAAGCTAAAGTTATTGATTCTTTTCTAATATAAACAATTAAAATATAATTTTCCTTCAAATCTCAGCTTTCCCTATACAACAAAACCCCATAAGTTGTGGTTCTGTTTTTGTTAACTTCGATGAATGAAATCATATGGTGTTTGTGTTTTTCTATCTGGCTTATTTAACTAAGCATAATTTCCTCTATGTTCATTTATGTTGTGAATGGCAGGATTTAATTTTTTTGATAGATAAATAGTATCCCATTCTGTATATAAACCTCATCTTCTTTATCCATTTGCCAAAGGATAAACAACGTAAGTTGTTTTCAGTTCTTTGCTATTACAAATAGTGCTGCAATGAACATTGGGTGTGTATATATTTTTGAATTAGTACTTTTTAAATTTTCAGGTAAATACCCAGAAGTGCAACAGTTGTATCAAATGGGATTCCATATCTATCCTTTGTCGATCTGTCTATCATCTATCTATCTATCTATCTATCTATCTATCTATCTATCTATCTATCTATCTATCTATCTATGCATCTATGCATCTATCTTTTTATGTTCTCCATGTCTCTCCTTACATTTGCTAATATTTTCATCTTCTCAAACACATGGAATAAGACTTCAGTAACATTTTTGTGACATTATCCACTTGTTATATTATCTGTGTCATTTTTGGTTTAGTTTAAAATGACAGAAACTTATTTTTGATTGAGGTTTCCAGAATTTTTGAATGAACTTGAAATAGCAAGAAATGTTTATTTATAGTTTTGAACATTTTTTGTTCAGTACATGGCAGTGGAATGTACAATCCATATTTTATAAACTTTGAAGGGAACAGTCTCCCTTTATCTGAGAGGGATATGTTCCAAGACTCCCAGTGGATAGTACAGAACCATGTATGTTTTATTTTTTTCTTACACATGCATACCTATGATGAAGTTTAATTTATAATTAGCACAGGAAGAAATTAATGATAACTAATAGTAAAATATTAATTGTAATAATATACTATAGAATAATTATGTGTATTTTGTCTATCTCACAATATATTTTATTGTACATAATATTTTTTGGATATCAGTGGAAAATGTGTAACTGAAACTTCAGAAAGAGGAACTGCAGGTCGTGGACTATGTACTTCAGCATTAAAATATATTCTTCAATTAAATAGAAATCAGATTTTTTCTAGACAATTTTATTCTCTGGGAACAAGGAGTTATAATAGGCTTTGAAGTCAAATATAATAAGCTTCAAAATGCAAATTTACTGAAATCTATATGAAATTAAGCATGTAGTCTTTCAGTTTTATGTCTCATATGTAAAATCAAGATGCAAATATCTACCTCACAGAATATTTATAAACATTAAATCATATCCTAAGGATCATAAAGATGCTAAATTGGAGCCTAAGCATCAAATTAAGTCCAAATATATGGGGCATATTGATTACAATAAAACAAACTGTATCCCTTTAGTACATATTTATTTCTGATGTATATTGATTTTATACAAATTAGATAATGCCCATGTGCCTATATGTGTCTAAATAATACATTCATAATTATATTGATTTTGTAATATATTTTAATAGTATATCAGTAAGGCCATCATAATTAAGACATTCATTATACTCCATGCTCTTAGGAACCCAAGTCTTTGAGTAAACATATATAGATTCCATAATACAGATATTTTAATTCCACAATACTAGACAATTGGATATTTGTTAATCCAGTTTTTACACAAAATATACTAACATCTAAATGTTTAGCATCGTGCCTCCCCGGTGGCGCAGCAGTTGAGCGCTGGGTTGCGAAGCTGCCGGCAGCCTCGGCAGAGCCGGTTCTATCCCTGGTCGCCAGGTGAGGGTCCCACATGGCGCACAGACCTCTCCTGCCACCCTCTGCTCCCCTCAGCAGTGTACTTGGTAAATGTGCCTGCTCTGCTCCCCGCTCTGACTCTGGTGAATTCTCTCACCCTCCCGTGCTTCTGACTGTACCCAGTGCTTGTATAAACAAATAAATAAATCTTTAAAAATAAATAAATAAATGTTTAGCATCATATAGACATAATCAGAAGATAATGCACATATTCCTACAACATTTAGACTACAATATGTTTTTATATATTAGATTAAAATAGGATAGTTGCATTTGTAAAGTTGAGAGATTTCATAACTCAGAAGATTATTTTGGTAGTTTAGTTAATGTACTTTGTATAATGAGATTGGATATTAAAAGAGAAAACCTGGCCTCCCCGGTGGCACAGCGGTTGAGCACTGGGTTGCGAAGCTGCCCGCAGCCCCTGCAGCGCTGGTTCGATCCCCGCCTGCTCCCTGGCCACCGGAGGAGGGTCTCACATGGCGCACAGACCTCTCCTGCCGCCTGCTGCTCCCCTCAGCAGTGTGCTTCGGTCCTTCTGCCTGCTCTGCTCCCTGCTCTGGCTTTGGTGAATTCTCTCACCCTCCCGCGCTTCTGACTATACCCACTGCTTGTATAAATAAATAAAAATAAATCTTAAAAATAAATAAATAAAAAAAGAGAAAACCTAAATAACTTTGAAGATAAAATTTCTAGACCTACTCAACTCATATGTAAGATTGTCTTTACATATATATGTATATAAGTGATAAATATGAATGGAATGCTCATATACATATATTCAAATGTATATGAATATTGCATTTAGCCAACTTCTACTTAATAATAATAAGTAATAAAATCCAAGAAAAGTAAAATAAGGTTTTGTAATTGAGTTAGAAAACAAAATTGATTACAATGCAAATGTTTACCTGGTCTAATTTAACTGATAATTAAATTCTGTTCTTGGTCAGCAACATGTGAAAAATTGCTTAAATTTTTACAAATGGCTTGACATATTTTATTGGCTTACAGGTAGGTATTTGTATATAGTGATTGATTTTCTTGTTATTATACAATTTTATCCTTTAACAACTAAGTTTTTGTTTTCCTAATGAAAAAAGTGTTATTTGGTTAACTTCAGAAGTATGCCACTTCACAAGTATCAAATTTACATTAGATTCTGATAAATATATATAAATATAAGTGGGTATATTTATATATATTATATTAATTTTGAGAAATCATTTTGTTACAGGGACATCTTACTCAAAATAATGTATCGTTATATATTGAGCATATACTTAGGTATGGCATTACTTAGTCATTAGACATACATACATTCAGCCTTAATAGATATTGGTTATTTTAATTTTTTATCTTTTTTAATTTGTGCATTCAAGAGCTGGGGTGTATGGCAGAGGTGGGGGGTGTTGAGAGGATTCACCAGAGACAGAGTGGAGAGCAAAACAGGCAGATTGACTGAAAAACACTGCTGAGGTGAGACAGGAGAGGTCTGCTGCACCATGTGGGTCAGTTCCTGGGATCCAACTTGTGCTGCAGTGGCTGGTGATAACTTCATAGTGCTGAGACTTAACCCCTTGTGCCACTAGGAAGGCCCCTTAATGGATATTGTTATACAAGCTCCTAAGAGAAAAAAAATGTTGAAATTCATTCTAAAATTGTCTAATTTGAGTATTCTTAATCACTGTGACTTAGCAAGTCCACATCTGGGATTTATTCAAAAATGCACCAGAAGACACATACAAGAATATTTTTAGAAACATCATTGAAATTAATTCAAACTATCATGAATCTAAATGTCAGTCCATATTAGAAGTGGCAAATAAACAGTGATATACTTATACTGGAATACTATATAACAATGAAAAAGTCACACATATTGGTCTCATAGATTAAAGTTGAGTGAGGGAAGCTAGACATAAGAGTACTTACTGAACAATTCCATTTATATAAAGTGCAAGATCAGGCAATCAAATCTTATATGATAAAAAGCAAAATGAATAGAAGTTCTTTTGGGGAGTGCTGAAGGTGGTTAGTTTAAGTGTTACATTCAATGTGTGTATTTTATTTATCTATTTTTCAATAAAATTTAAGTTTAAAAATAATATGCAGTTGTAGGAGTTTCCACATATGGAGTGAGAAAAGTGGATAATGGAAAGAAAACTGAGGAGAAAATTCCATTCATTTGCTTCATCCTTTGTCAGCCCTTCTCTCTCCTAAATTCATTGTTACAGCATCAGGGACTTGTCAGCTCAGCCCCCAAAAATCCTCATAGGCTCGTGAGGGGCTTTCTTGTTTGGAACTTCTGCTAGAGGCTGATAAAGATAGATGCATATATGGACTCAGTGTGTGAAGAGAGAGGACTCAGATTCCCTCCAACTGCACACAATACAACAGGAACTGCAGAAACAGGAGCAAGCTGTGGGACCAGCAAAGTGCCAGCCGCCCCACACTAGTTGGAGTGTTTCAGTTGTGGCTCACAGGACAGACAGCAAGACTCGCTCTCCTCCCAGACAACAATAAGGGCAGGTTTTCTGATTAATGCCAGAGGGATATATTTTTGTTCACAAAT